GGTCAATCAGGGCATTATACTATCAGGGCATTATACCTTTCCGTGAAGACTAGATTTACCGCTTGCCTTCCTAATTTCGTATCAACTTCCGGTTGAAAATCATGGAAGAAGACATGTTTACCAGTGTTTCAGAATTATTCAATGAATTCGAGAAGGATAGAAATTCATCAACTTTTATTTCATTTGACTACAAAAATGACGGTCATGAGGACAAAAGTAAAATCCTGTTTACACTCGAGAGGACCGATGGGGAATCAACTGATGAAGAAAGTGAAAATGAAAGTAACTTTACTACATGCACAGCCCTGAAAGAACTCGGCACGACAGATAATGATTCGTCGGAAAACGACGATACTTTGATCATTCCAGAGAGATTGTTCAATGAATCTGAAGCCCACATTAACAAAACTAATGATACGAGTTATAAATTGACCCATGAAAGTATCCTCTATGAATGGTTAACAAAGGCATTTGACAAATCTTACATGCGGTTTTTCTTTTTAAGGCAAGCGGTAAATCTAGTCTTCCCGACTCCCGATGGTCTCGGATTTCAGTTGTTTATCAGGTGCACAGAAATTCTTCAAAGTTTTTGGCATATTTTATGGGTTTAAATAGATTTATTAATACATGCATGAAAACTAAAACAAAGGACTATATTTGGTAATGATAAATATTTGCCCCTAAAATGAAACTTTGACAGAGAATTATTTATTTATGTTCTGAACATGCAGCTTCAAAGCTTTGAATATTTTCATAATCCATGACTTGTTATTTTTGATATGACATCAGGAAAATGACATAAATTTAAAATTTCAAGAATTTTTACAGAAAAAGGTGACATTGTAAGTGAAAGTCAATGAACGTAGGCCTGCTCCTGTGCTCCAGCTTAATTATTTTATATAATTGCAATGCCCAATAATTTTTAAGGAGTAAAAAAGTTGTCAGTTTTTTATGTCCATTGTGTAAAGTATGACCCACTGATTCCATATCAGCAATTATTTCTCAGATCGGGTGAAAATTAAGCTTTTTTATGGATGTTTTAAAAATGCAGAATTCTTACAGAGTTAGCCATCTTTCTGAGGAAAATGATTGGAATGCATACATCAGCAGATGATACAGGAATGCTAGATCAAAATAATTTTAGAATATAATATAGGTACCAGTTAGTTAATTTTGCCTGAAATTTCACAATATTCTTGTACCACTTTTGGGACACAGAAGAATATACCGTATAACGGGTATTTTTTACGTGCTGCTAATTTTTACTAATTTTTACGAGTTTTATAAATTCGTAAAATTTAAACGCGTAAAATTTCACGTAATTAATAAAACGGCTCTTGTAAAATTTCAACATCGTATGTGTAAAAGTCACATTGTCATTAAGCTCACTCCCTGGAGGCTATATAATTAGTACTGTTGGTATTTTGAGCACTTTTAAGTCAATCATCAATCGGGATCATACAGGTAAATCAATCAATTAAACCTACCTGGTCACTCTTTATTTTTAGTATTTTTACGAGACGCATAACTTCTGATGATGACAATGATTACAAATCTTCCAATTATACCCGTGTTTTCAATCTTTGACCCTTTCTTTTGTTTCATCTGCTTTGAATAAAACTTCGACTTTTTAATACACTGTAATACTTTCACTTCAATTATGATAGTTTGAGTTGTCTCTCTTTTTTTTTTTCCGGTAAAACCAGAAGAGCACATGTTGTGCCTAGCTATGTGTTTTATAATATATGGCTGCCATATTGGATAATGGAACGAGCAAAAATAGAACAAATTTGCTCCAGTATGCCTTGGAAAATTCGTGTGGCGAACAAGAACGGTTGAATACTTGCCTGCATGTAATATGCATTTGTAGTGGTATAACCGAGAAAGATACTAACATATGTTTTGACAAATTACTTGTCCATATATGAAAATAAAAGATTTTAAAATTTTTTAATCAATTTTTAAAACGACTAATCATGCCATACTTCAAATATTCGGGTTGGTAATTTTAGGGGGCATCTCAAACTTCATAGAAAGGTTATCAGAACATTTGAAAAGCGAGGCAAAATAGTTTATTAAGCTGTACTATTCAAGCTCTTTTTTGATTCGGAGTCAAAACGAAGCTGAGGAAATCAGGAAAGTTATCTTCCCCTTGCTTGGGCATTACTAGATATAATACTGTAGACGTACTTTTTTCCACGGGGTCATAATTCTGCTGAATCTCAATTTCTGTTTAATCCGCTGGTAGAAAATTACGAGGATTTTCTAGACTGTCATAATATGCCTTACAATTATATTAAGTACGCTTGGACAAATTACCGCGGAAATTTTGTGACCGCATACATAGCGTAAATTAATACCACGCGGAAAAAAGTACTTATACAGTACTGAAAATGATCATAACAATGAGATATGTAAATATTGTTTTGGAGCAGGTCTGCGCTCTATGTTTTATAGTAAAAATTGAGCTATTTTTTAAAGATTTAAATTTTTATACCCCCCCCGCAAACGAAGTTTAGGGGGGTATATTGGAATCACCATGTCCGTCCGTCTGTCTGTAGACGAGATTTTGTCCGGACCATTACTCAGAGACTGTCTGAAAATTTGTACACGTATTATTCACCATATGAAGGTGTGCACCTGATATTTTCATCTTGATTGGATAATCATTTTGAATTTTACAGGTGTTTTTTCATTAGCTCACCTCAACGAAGTTGGGGGAGCTTATGTAATACCCTCGGCGTCGGTGTCGGTGTCGGCGTCCCGGGTTAAGGTTAAGTTTTTTGGAGCAGTTTTCTTTTTAAGTACTTCTATGTCCTATATTGATTAGACACGCAAGAAAGATGTTTCTTGTGTGTTTCATTGTACCAGTCAAAGTTTCAGATGCTGCAATTTCAGCAAAGGAATGACCAGGTTAATGTTTTTGAAGCAGGTTAACATTTTTGGTGCAGTTTTTGGTGTAGGTCTCATTTCCGAGTAACTATAAGCCCTATATTGACCAAACTTGCATGGATGGTACATCTTAGGATGCATACTACCAGGCTTGCTTCGGATGCTGAATATGACCTACCGGTTGAGTGAACAGGTTTATGTTTCGGTGCAGGTCTCATTTCCAAGTAACTATGAGCACTATGGTGACCAAACTTGCATGGATGATACATCTTAGGATGCATATTACCAGACTTGCTTTGGATGCTGAATCTGACCTACATTTTCTGGTTGAGTGAACAGGTTAAAGTATTTGGTGCAGGTTTCGTTTCCAAGTTACTATGAGCCCTATAATGACCAAACTTGCATGGATGGTACATCTTAGGATGCATACTACCAGACTTGCTTCGGAGGCTGAATCTGACCTACATTTTCTGGTTGAGTGAACAGGCTAAAGTATTTGGTGCAGGTTTCATTTTCAAGTTACTATGAGCGTATAATGACCAAACTTGCATGGATGGTACATCTAAGGGTGCATTCTACTAGGCTGGCTTCGGATGCTGAATCTGACCTACATTTTCTGGATTAGTGGAAAGGTTAGTTTTTTATACAGGTCTCATTTTCAAGTAACTTTGAGCTCTATGTTGAGCAAACTTGCATGGATGATATATCTTAGGATGCACACTAATGGACTTGCTTCAGATGCGGAATTCGACACACATTTTCCAGATAATGGACCTCGTAAAAGTTATGGGTGCAGGTCTATTACCAAGAAACTTTAAGACTTATATAAATCAAACTTGCACAAATGATGCATCAAGTGATAAATCTCTCAAACTTGCTTCAGATGCTGGATTTTAATTACGTTTTCATGATGAAGTACTAATTTGAAGTTTTATATAGGTCTATTCCAAAGTATCAAATCAAAATTGCATAAACAAAGTTGGGGAACATATTGTTTTTACTCTGTTTCTTATTATTATGTTCCCCAAACGAAGTTGGGGAACATATTGTTTTTACTCTGTTTCTTCTTCTTCTTATTATTATTATTTTTCTTCTTCCTGGGAAAATCTTTTCCTCGAGTGATCTTGTAAACTACACATCCGACTTAGGTGAAACCTTTTTAGGGTCAGTAGGCATGTTATGTAGATTTGCGGAACGAAGGTCATTTTGTGCGCACATGCTTGTATGAGCGCGCATGTGCAACACGTGAAATGACCAATATAATGGATATAGCCGTAACTTTTCTATTTTTTGGTGAAATGTTTAGAAACTCATAATGTAAGGATCTATTAGTAGTGTAGACAAGATGACATGGTCAAAATAGCAGGATCTCACGTGCATGCACGTGAGCCCCGCTCTGATTGGCTGAAATTAAAGTTTCAATATCTTTCTTATTTCTGGACAAAATCCTTTGAAATTTTGAACATAATCATACATTATGAAGATCTATAGCATATATTATAATTATCATAAAAGCATGCGCATACACGTTTGCTGCAATCTGATTGGTTGAAACTTTAAACGCCAATAACTTTTTTGGTTCTCAACCAAACAGGATGAAATTTAGAATATGAATAGGCATGATGGATTCCTACATTATACTACTGTAAAAAATTGAATGCAAGGACATGCATGCACGTGCGCACGCACAATACGTAAATGACCAATATATTTAAAAACGGTAACATTTAAGATATGTTAAAGGTTTGGACAACATGCCATGATTACTTGCATGTGCATGCGCGTGCATGCACGTGCAATACGTTAAATGACATATAGTTGATATCATTGTAGCTTTTATAATTCTTTGATGAAATCCTTCGATACTGAGCACATTTGAAAAAAAGTCTTACAGAAAATGGCACAAAAAGGGAGTTGGGGAGCATTTGGGGACGGAAGATCTTATAGTGATTCTATTGTTTCTTATTAAGGTCTTCCGTCTTCACGGAAGACCTTATAGTGATTCTACTGTTTCTTCTTCTTCTTCTTATTATTATTATTTTTTAGACAAATTTTGTGCACGCGATATCCCTATTCATCGTTACAATTAGAACTAGTTAAGGTCTTCCGTCTTCACTGAAGATCTTATAGTGATTCTATTGTTTCTTATTATTATTCTTCTTTTTTTTTAGACAAAATTTTGTGCAGGCGATTTCTCGTAAACTATTCGGTGGATTTCAATGAAAATTTCAGGAATTATAGGTCAATATATGAATTTTATATAAAATTCCGTTTGTTGGAAAATTCGCTACCAGTGCCAAGTTATGGGCAATTTCCTGATTTTAAAATGCAATTTTGTCCTTGAATGTTCTCGAAAACGGCTCAAGATATTAACTGGAGACTTGTTAGAGATGATAGACCATGAGTTATAGATGTGCAATTTTGCCTTCGTTTGTGTCGTCAGTACTTCCGGTCGCTACAGGAAGTGAATTCAAAATGTGCACTTTTTCAACTTTTTTTGTTTTTCAATATTTTTCTTTGATATAATTAATGGTAATTAAGACCCTACT